AAGTGTTCAGACCCCACTGCAGCTTAAGCTGTGTCTGTTTAAGGCTAAGGCTGAGTTTAGGGTTGGATTAAGTCATTTAGGGTTAGGTCTGGTTTAGGTTTTGGGGCTGAGTTTGGAGCAAATGGGGGTTGGGGTGAGTTTGGGGTTGAGCTGTGTTTGGGGTCAGACTGAGTTTGGGACAGATTGGATTTGGGGTTGGGGAGAGTTTGGGGTCAGTCTGAGTTTGGGGCAGTTTGGGGTCAGGCTGTGGGGCTGAGTATGGAGTCAGACTGAGTTTGGGGCCAGGCTGAGTTTGGGGCCAGGCTGAGTTTGGGCTCAGGCTGAGTTTGGGGTTGGGCTGAGTTTGGAGTTGGGCTGAGTTTGGGGCAGATTGGGGCCAGGATGAATTTTGGGGTCAGACTGGATTTGGGGCAGTTTGGGGTCAGACTGAGTTCGGAGCAGTTTGGAATTGAACTGAGTTTGGGGTCAGACTGAGTTTGGGGTTTGGGTGAGATTGGGGCCAGGATGAGTTTGGGGCAGTTTGGGGTTGGGCTGAATTTGGGGTCAGACTGGATTTGGGGCAATTTGGGGTCAGGCTGCATTTGGGATCAGGCTGAGTTTGGGGCAGTTTGAGGTCAGGCTGAGCTTGGGGCAGATAGGGGTTGAGCTGAGGGGTTGAGTTTGGGGTCAGGCTACGTTTGGGGTTGGGCTGAGTTTGGGGTAGTTTGGGGCAGTTTGAGGTCAGGCTGAGTTTGGGGCAGATTGGGGTCGGGCTGCAATTGGGATCAGGCTGAGTTTGGGGCAGTTTGAGGTCAGGCTGAGCTTGGGGCAGATTGGGGTCGGGCTGCATTTGGGATCAGGCTGAGTCTGGGGCAGTTTGGGGTCGGGCAGGGTTTGGGGTTTGGCTGAATTTGGGGCAGATTGGGGTCGGGCTAAGGGGCTGAGTTTGGGGCAGTTTGGGCCAGGCTGAGTTTGGGGTCGGGCTGAGTTTGGAGCCAGCTTGAGTTTGGGGTCAGACTGGATTTGGGGCAGTTTGGGGTCAGGCTGAGTTTGGGGTGAGGATGAGATTGGGGTTGGGATGAGATTGGGGCCAGGCTGAGTTTGGGGCAGTTTGGGGCCAGACTGATTTTGGGGCAGATTGGGGTCAAGCTGCATTTGGGATCGGGCTGAATTTGGGGCAGATTGGGGTCAGACTGAGTTTGGAGCAGTTTGGGGTGAGTTGGGGTCAGATTGGGGTTGGGTTGAGGGGCTGAGTTTGGGGTCAGGCTGAGTTTGGAGCAATTTGGGCTGAGTTTGGGGTTATTTTGGGGTGAGTTTGGGGCAGTTTGGGGCCAGACTGAGTTTGGGGCAGATTGGGGTCAGGCTGCATTTGGGATTGGGCTGAATTTGGGGCAGATTGGGGTCAGACTGAGTTTGGAGGAGNNNNTCAGATTGGGGTTGGGCTGAGGGGCTGAGTTTGGGGTCAGGCTGAGTTTGGGGTTGGGCTGAGTTTGGAGCAGTTTGGGGTCAGGCTGAGTTTGGAGGAGTTTGGGCTGAGTTTGGGGTGAGTTTGGGGCAGTTTGGGGCCAGACTGAGTTTGGGGCAGACTGGATTTGGGGCAGGTTGGGGTCGGGCTGAGTTTGGGGTTTGGGTGAGTTTGGGGTTGAGTTGTGTTTGGGAATCTTGGGGGCTTTGGGGGTCTGGGGGTATTTTTTTAGGTTTTACAGGGGGGGATTTGGGGTATTTGAGGGCATTTTAGAGACGGTTTGGGGTCATGCAGGGTATTTGTAGGGCATTTTGGAGACGATTTGGGGTTCAGTAGGTTGTTGTAGGGGATTTTGGAGACGATTTGGGGTCGTGCAAAGTTTGTAGGCAATTTTGGAGACGATTTGGGTTTCTGTAGGTTATTTGTAGGGCGTTTTGGAGACGATTTGGGGTTCTTCAGGGTGTTTGTAGGGTCTTGGAGATGATTTGGGGTTCTGTAGGTTATTTGTAGGGGATTCTGGAGATGATTTGGGGTCGTGCAGGGTATTTGTAGGGGATTTTGGAGACGATTTGGGGGTCTTGCAGGGTGTTTGTAGGGGATTTTGGAGACGATTTGGGTTTCTGTAGGTTATTTGTAGGGTGTTTTGGAGACGATTTGGGGTTCTTCAGGGTGTTTGTAGGGTCTTGGAGATGATTTGGGGTTCTGTAGGTTATTTGTAGGGGATTCTGGAGATGATTTGGGGTCGTGCAGGGTATTTGTAGGTCATTTTGGAGAAGATTTGGGATTCTGTAGGTTATTTGTAGGGCGTTTTGGAGATGATTTGGGGTCTTGCAGGGTATTTGTAGGGGATTTTGGAGACGATTTGGGGTCGTGCAGGGTGTTTGTAGGGGATTTTGGAAATGATTTGGCGTTCTTCAGGGTGTTTGTAGGGTCTTGGAAATGATTTGGGGTTCTGTAGGTTACTTGTAGGGCATTTTGGAGATGATTTGGGGTTCTTCAGGGTGTTTGTAGGGTATTTTGGAGACGATTTGGGGTCATGCAGGGTGTTTTTGGAGACGATTTGTGTTTCTGTAGGTTATTTGTAGGGCGTTTTGGAGACGATTTGTGTTTCTGTAGGTTATTTGCAGGGCGTTTGTGGGTCCCAAGATTCCCACCTGCAGAATCACCGTCTCGCCTCCCTATGGGGCGCATTGCCCCCCACCTCCCATCTCCCCCCTCCCAAAAACGGACTGAGGCGAGGCCTCACTCTGCACACATTTATTCCCCCCGAGGGACCCCAACTTTTGCAGGGGGCGCCCACCCAAACCCCAAATCAGCCACGCAGGGGGGTCGGATCCTCATCCTGGATGCGGATGGGGGATGTGCCAAGCGGAGGCGAATTGGGGACGGGGTTTCAACCCTCCAGGTTGACCCCCCCCAAAAAAATAAAACCAAAACCCCGTTGTCAGGGGTTCCCCTCGCAC